TTCAATTGTATCTAAAAAACCAATGCTCAGTACTGCTCCAAGATGTTAATGTTATCCAAAATGTTCACAATTTTTTGAGTTTTAGACTTTACCAGTTGAGTATGTCTCATCCAAAAATACTTTTGAACATTTTGAGAGGATTTCAGATTTTCTGATGAGGTGTTCAACATATACCAAAAAACCTAGAAATGGAAGACAAAAATACCTTCCCAAAACTCTCCAAAGATATGCAAGACAAAAATTCATTAGATAGCCATAAACTTCTAAAATCTTTAGAAACAATCTTAGTTAACTCTCAAAAGGCAATTTTCATTTCTACTAAAAAAAAAAAAAATTTTTTTTACCAAAGTTCCACAAATTCAGGAACCAATTAAAAAAAATTAAGACATTTCTTCAAACAAGATGCTTCTACTAAATTATTCCAAAGATACTAATTCTTAGGTGCTGGGAAAAACTGAGTATCCTCAAGGTGGCAGCTCTGTGGAACAGCTTTATATGGTGTGCCTACATATAACATACCCTTCATTCCTAAGTTCATTTGTACCATTATTCTTCAGTTTCTTACTAAAATTACACAGAACTCTAAGAATCCTTTCAAGACTTGATTCTTCCTGTTTTTGATGCAATGAAAACATATGCAGACACAGAAATTGTGGAGCATTTCTGTAATCTTCGCAATAAGGGGCGAGGCAGTACAAGGTCAGCCTGAACCAAAAAAGAAAAATTAACTGATTAACTCCAAAGCCCAGGATAAAGATACGATTTTATGGTATCTTTTACTCATTCATGGTATAAAAGACTATGGAGAGATGGGGAGGCCGGAGACATGGCTCAGCAGTAGCTGCTCTTATAGAGCACCTGGGTTCAATTCCCAATACCCACATGGTGGCTAACAACCACCTGTAACTCCAGTTCCAAGGGATCCAACGCCCTCTTCTGGCCTCCATGGACACTGCATGGCATAAGTGCACTTGCTTATGTAAGCAAAACACTCAAAAAAAAGAGAAAATAAAAATTGATAATGTTCTTAAATAATGTAGTGACAGCATCAGTTACCTAACAGACAAAGACAGATAAGCAGCTAAAAGGCCAACTACAAAGTGAGGTCTAATTTAGCAAATGACTAAATTAAAAAAAAATGAGTAGTTCCATTCACAAGCAAATTATTAAAGTATCATCAAGGATACAAATAAAAAGGAAACAAAAGCCAACAGAGTTCATGCATGAAAGAAATGAAAATGAAGTGGAAAAAAAAAATAAAAAAGGCAAGCAGTCCTGATTCCCAAGCATCAAAGCGTTTTAGGAAAAACTTCAAGGCCAAAGATTTATCTTAGCCTGACTTCCAAGTATATCACACAACTGCTGGCAAATACCATATGCCCAATATTTGTTGAATGACTAGGCAACAGAATTTGGGGTGATTATTTCACCTATAAAAGAACTTTTTACCTTACTATAAATGGATGAAAGCATTTACCAAATTTTTCTTATGTCTAAAACAGACTTCTTCCTAGATCTGAGAATACAGTCTAATGGGGGAAGTCATTATAAAAACAACTCGAGGGCCTATTAGATGAGGTGCAATATCCTATTGTTTCAATCACCAAAATGTTAGAAATAGAGCACACTAAAGTACAATTAGCCCTGCCTGCTAAGTTAACATTTAAAATGAATACTAAACAGTGGTTGATAAATAGCATCACCTCAGGTTGTAATGTTAATACGACAGAAAAATTCATCGATAAAACTCATAATAATCATTTAGCTACCCAAGATTTTCTAACGCTTTAATAATGAAACATACCTGCTACTCTTATAAACACATGGTCTATATGCATAAGTAGCATAAAGCTATAGCTATATTCAACAGAGAACACTATTCTCTTCCCATTCAAATTACTCTATCCCAAAGCAATCTTCTGGCCATTAGTAATTCCTCAACCCAGTAATTATATAGAGGCCAATGTTCCTCAATATATGATCACACTGAGTAAAGCTGATTCTAGCCTAAGAGGCAAAAACCAAAAACACAAGGAATCAAAAGATGCAAAATATTTTGTAACAGTAAACAAAGGCAGAGAAGCCAGCTGTCAATAGAAGCAACAGGCCACATGGTACTCTGAGGGTCCCCTCAAGTTTTCAATTAATAATGTGTAATTAAATGTTATCTACTTAATCAACATGAGATCTTATAGTGGAAAACATATACATGTTTTAATTACCTTGATGAAATTAGTTTATTCCTTAATGTAGGCTTTAGAAATGAAATGCTATTTTCATAATTTCTGAGCAAAGTCAGTCTGAAAATTTACTTATTCCAAGGGAATAACTGAAGGGTATCAGCACTGTAAAAAAGAAATAAGGCTAACTTAATCCTCCTCAGCTACATAGCTTGCTTGAGGCCAGCCTGGGCTACATGAGGTCCTATCTCAAAAACAAAACAAGATAAAAAGAAAAAAAGGAGACCACTTTGAAGCTGAATATTTCAATTAAATAGTATTACACTGACAAGACCCTAGAGAATATGGAATGCAAATTTAAATGCTTACAATGAAAGCAAAACCCAGAATTTCTGAATCATAAATGGCCTTTTATAATTGTGGGAACCATTTTTTAAAAACTCTTTAAATGCACAATTCATCAGTATAATTAAGATTTGAAAACTCCTAGGGAATAAACTGAAACAACCATAATTTCAATGGACTGAAATTTTTACTTTAAAAAAGTCAAAGTTCCTTTCCTAGAAAGCTGCTGGGAAACTCTCCATCATTAATAAACACTATTCCTTATTATCAAAAAACACTGGAGTCCATGCTTCTCTCAGCATCCTTTTCCCATGTAACTCACAAATTAAAAGCACAGGTATAAACTCCATGACATTTGTACACAGTAACTTCCTTAAGCTGGAAATTTTATGTACATTGTTTTCTGTAATTCTGCAGCTCAAAGGAAATACATGTGACAGTTTCAGCAAGAAAGCTACTCACCACCTTCCCTTTCTCTAACTCTGTGAGTATGCACATTTTTGGCCTTATTGTGACCTGTGCTGTCACTGTATTTGTTTTCAGGACTATCAGATCTCCGCAACATTTTATTTGGTGGTGAAGGATCTGCGGCGTCTCGCATCTTTTCATGTCTGTGATCACCGCCACTGGGGTGACTCTTTGATGAATACTTAAGTGCCTGTAAAACATCACCCCCCCACAAAAGAGAGAAAAAGTTGAAACTTTAAACCCAACTCTCTTTAAATTACAGATTTTGGTGTATTAACTTCACCCAGTTTTATGTTCACATCAACAAATTATGCTAAAGAGTTATTTTTCAACTCCTGGTCAAATATATTACCAGGAAAAAGAAACCTACTTTACTAATAAACATTAAAAAAAAAAAAAAAACAAGTATATTGACATATTGATCCATCAAAAAATTTTCTGCAACTAATATACAGAGGCACACATAAAATAAGCATGGTTTTGCAACCCTATCAAAAAAAAAATCAGTTTTCACATTTCTTTGATACGCCTAATTTACCAACTCTTTTACAGGCGTGGGAATAATCTTAAACTAAAAATATTGGTGAAAACAAACTGATATATGAGCAATGTTTCTAAGAAAATATAATTCTAAATGAAATGCCTTCAAAATAATGATTTTGTTTTACTCTGCACATCATCTTAAGATGAACATAAATTCATGAGTAATTAACTGGAGAAAATTAATAATCTATCACATACATTTGTATGTATTCTGCAATGTTTTGACAGCAGGGACCCAACCTCCTGCTGGCAACTGGACCTTAAACAACTCATCCTAGACAGTACATGGCTATTGGTTAGAAGTGTGCCTGCTCCTGAGACAGGGTGGCAGCTGCACCTGTATCCCAGCACTCAGAAGACTGAGGAAGGGATGTGGAGGCCAGTCTAGAGAAATTATCTCCAAAGAGAGAGACCTGTTCCTGCTCTTCCATCCTTAAGTGATTAGAGGCATACAGTATTTACTTCTGTTGTCAACAAATAGCTTCCAGCCACACTGAGGGCATTTCTACCCCAATTCCTAAAAACTTCACCTGCAAAACTTTCAGTAAGAATAAGGAACCTAGATACGCAGACCATTTATATTAGAATCAGGCATTCAAGTAGCCAATGACTTAAAATTCTTACCGAAGCAAAAGCAAATGCTTTCCCTTGTAAGGCAATTATTGGCACTAAAAACAACTAAAATTCTAAGAAAGTGAATTACAACTGATTAAGAGCTGTAAATCAGTGAGGTACTTCTCTCCAGCCTTTCACCAACTTTTAATACCTTTAAGCTAACTTTCAGTTCCCCAATAAAATAAATAATATGCCTCTGAAGTCTATCACTAAACCCCCTTTTTTGCACACTCAACCAAATCTGATCTTCCTGGTTCCGAGTAATTTTTTTTTCCTTTAAAAGAACAAAACAAAAACTGAACTTCTTCCAGTCCCCTCTCAAGAAAAGTCACTAAACATTGTTGAAGAGTGCTAAAAGAACCCAACACCAAATTTTAAGCGGACCAGCAGTGCTACTTTCGGATTTGTTGCACGGGAAGGGCCTGTAGCGACTTCTGAAGCCTGCGCTCGAGTGAGCAGCAGTCCCTCCCTTCCCCCTCCGGCCCCTTCAAGTCCCTCCGCCCCGGGCTCCGCTGGTACCTGGTAGGGCTGCGAGTCCCCCCTCCGGTCGTGACAGCTGAAAAACAGTAAGAAGGGCCGTGACATGAGACATCGCGGGAGAGGAAGAAAGCGGATTCCCCCGGCCGCCCCTCCCCGCGGGCTGCCGACCAAACGTACCCGCGGCGCTCCCCGGGCTCCGAGGCCCGGGCTGCGGCCCGCTCCCCCGCCCGTCCGCCCGTTCTTCCGTCCGCCCGCCCGGCCGCGCCTCTCCTTTTTTTTCCCCCCCCCCCCCCGCCGGCCCGGCCCGAAACGAAAAGACGATTTACCCATCACTGAGTCTCTGCTGTTTCCTCGCATACATTACCATCAATGCCCGGCTGTGAGTGTGTGTCG